GCTACATTGTCAGTCCATCCTCAAGCGTGCAAAAAACATATCTCTGCCACTAATCGAGACTTACACTGATTTTTGCGCTTTTGGGCCCAAATAAGTCTTGATGACGGCAAAAAATAATTGTCAACTGAATACGGAAGTGAACGAATTTGGTCGAAAGTGTCGAACCACCTTCATGACGAGCAACCGTTTGTGGCCACTGTTTGTGAACTTGGAGCTTGTTATGGTGTGTGTCGGCAGGAATTTTTTTATGGCGATCAGGAAACGTTTTTCACATCGAAATCAGTGGTTCCCCTTTGAAATTGAGATGTTCAAACAGCGAATTTTCTACGTCGAAATGAAGTTGGAGCACCATAGAGTTTGATTATTCCGATTTCCTTGGTGGGCTAAGGTAAGGGTAATTAACAGCTAGACATAAAAATCTCACCTGTTCACGCCCTGTATAATCCAACTTCGACCTTCAAAGTGGGCGTACTCAAGCAACATAAATCATACATGCCGTATACATAAACCTTTGAAGGGAGCATGAAAACACGCAAACGCATAGCTGTGTATACATGTACATTGTAGACCCTAGTTTGTGTTCCTCTGTGTGTCTCGGTGTGTCGTCAATTCTGTATTCGACAACCGTAAGCATAAGGAGAAAGTTGCCGCTGTACGCACTCTTGTGTGTAGTATGTGTGCCGCGTTCAGTTGCTGTCTAGTATGAGATATCGGTACATGTAGCTGGGCTGGCGGTGCGTATTGCCTTGATGTGGATCACCTAACTCGTGGCCTTCTAAAGCCTGTCGAAACGCATGCCGTTTCAGATGTATGGTCTCGTGGTGTGTGTGTGTGTGACTGTGTGTGTGTGTGTGTGTGTGTGTGTGTGTGTGCGTGCGTGTGTGCATGTGTGCGTGTGTGTGTCAAAATGCATGCCGTTTCAGATTTATGGTCTCGTGGTGTGTGTCTGTGGTAGGAACCGGTGGATTCTGCTCGAAAAGGTGGCAGATTCTGCTCGAAAAGCAGTGAAATTGGCAGAGCCATACAAACCTTATGGCGGGCAATTCCTCGAATTCTGCTCCATTTCTTTATCCACATTCCAAACATGCATGAAACTTACCAGAAAAAGTACCGAATTCTGCCAATTTTCTGCCGGCAGAATCCGCCGGACCCTAGTCTGTGGGGGGGGGGGGGGTGTGCGCGTGTGTGTGTGTGTGTGAGTCTGTCGCGCTCACAATATCTCGTTTTCTGCTTATGAAGCTACATGTATATGTATGTGTTATTTGTAGAAGATTACAATGTAGAGGTGATTGTCTGCTTTGCGTTCCTCTCTGCTTGGCCTGCATTATCAATTTATCAGTACTGGTTTTTGCTCTTCACACGTACACGTACCCCCCCCCCCCCCCCCCAGCACACAAACACACACACACACACACACACTTGTACTTGTACTTGTACTTGCTCACTGCCAAAACTGGTCACGTGGGTCTCCACGGGAGAGAGGAGAGAGACTCAAAAGGAATCTTGGAAAGATGACTCAATTGGCCATTGAACCACCCAGCGGCCGACACCCCCTGAAATCCCCAAACTAGGGTGGACTTGAAATGATCCCACTTATGGGCTCACCACACCTCAGTAAGTGGGTGAGGACAAGGTGCAGAAAAAGGATTGACGGCATCAGGGTATCCGTCCCGGGATCCAACTGCAGGTACCCCTGCCCCCAGTGAAGGTAATACTTGGTACTAGTGTGGGTGGCTAAATCAGAGTGGATCTGATATAAGCTTCACTAGCACCATTGATTACACAAGAGTTAATCTAGCCAGAAGCAGTCCATGGTTAACAGGTATGTATACTTCAAATAGAAAGTATATGAACCCTGAAACCAACAAAGGTGGTAGGTACAACAATACACCTTCAAGCAGCCGAGCCCGTTGGCAACAGGCCCGACACTATCTTGCATAAGTGTACCCACCAACCGAACTAGCTGGCACACACACACACACACACACACGCGCGCACGCATGCTTATGTATACGGTTTCAGTTTGAAAAATGCAAAGTGTCCTGTACATGTGTGCGTCTGATGCATTCACACGAACTTCAACGGTCTATGATGCACGCGTCACTTCTCCTTTGACTCTGAGTTTGAGGAAAGAAAACCAAAGCATATCAATACAATCACATACATGTATACAAACTTTTAAAAGTGTGTGAATGTACAACGTACGTTTGTCTTGTTTATGCTGTGTGTCACTTTGCTCTGGGCATGGAAATTCTGTCGTATTTGTGAATTGTCGTTATATGCGCATAGCAGTGGTTATTAGAGAAGTTGACTGTGTTTGAATGTACAAAGTACGTTTGTCTTGTTTATGCTGTATGTCACTTGCTCGGCCACCCGTGTTGCGTTCTATCTGTTTCGGCTATTGCTACTGCACTGTTCTAGCCAGAAATTATTGTTGATAGGGAAACCGAGTGCGAACCTGGCTAGGCTTTGTTGGTGAGGTACTCTCATATGTGCGTATCCGTGCTCGTTTGTATTCCTCCGACGGTGTGGCACGTGCGCGCACACACATGTGATGTATGCGAAGTGTATCCGGCATGTACGAACAATGTGTGTGCATCCGCGGCACGCATGTTTGACATGTTTGTGCTCCATGTGTGCATGTAGGATCTAAACGTGTGTAACGCAAGCGTGTGGGGCACGCCCATTACGTCTGCGGCACCGTGACATGGCCAGCATGTGATGTCCGACACGGGTGTGCAGGAGTGGCGCGTGGGCGTGTTCGCAGTGTGCACGTCTATACTCCAGCGTATTGTCCACTTTCCTGGTCCCAGGAGGGTTTTGATCTGTGGAAAACACATGAACTGAATACAGTGGAGTTAGTTTGAACTCTTGTGTGCTTTCTGTGCACAGGTTTATCTACGGAATTGAGTATGGTCAAGAAATGCGTCTGAAAAACCTGGAGCACCATCGATTTTGCCATAACCATTACTCGAATGTCCGAGAGCAGGGTCGAGGGCAACCACATTGTCGAAAATTACACCTGTTCACGCCCTCCTTTCAGGTTACTGGCTCGTTTTCGCCGACTGCTCTGAATCGTACGAAAAATTCAAATGTTCTCCGCCGAATGGCACCATCACAAAGTCTTTCGGATCATTTTCGATATGCACCTCGCGAACATACCACCTTCCTGCACCCATACACCACAAACAATGCATGCTCCATTCGACGAGGTGGGTGTCATGAGTGTTCTTTCACGTCAGTCGCCGAAAGTCATTTCAGGGTGAGAATCGTTCTCAAGAAAAAGATCGCAAAAATCAGTGTAAGTCTCGATCGAACGCTTGAGGATAGACTGTGTACGTGATTTGAAAACTCCGTGTGGCGGAACACAGATGCGCATGCAGTTTACGTAAGACTTTCCGTAGATCGACTACGTTTTTTACTAACGTAATTACGTTATGCGGAACCTCTCTATTGTTGGAGACTGTGCTTATATTAGAGATAATAGGGTAGGCATCGGCGGCTAATGCTCGTTTTTTCACAGTATAATGCTTTTGGCAGTGCTCGATATTTCACGGCATAATACCTGTTATAATGCTCCATTCACACGATAATGCTAGAGTGATATGTACATTTTCGAGCTATCTTGGGCAAATATGCACATGGAAAAGAAATGTATCCACAATTGGCTCATACTGAGATAAGGAAGTGTAGTTGTATATGCATGGCCACACTAGACAGATACATCATACATGTACCTGCTGCAAGAGTGTCGGTACACTGTCTGTACAAGCCTCTTGTCATGTGAAAAGACGTGTAAAAAGTCTTGTATTGTACCAAAATAGAACTGATAATGCTTTCTCCAGCCAAAAACATGCCACCTAATGCCGAGCACTGCTACTTCTTCAAAACACCCATATAATGCTAGTTATAATGCTAGCATTAGCCGCCGATGCCTATAATAGGGAGGTTTCGCTCTACGTAATTACGTATGAAAATCCGTATGTCGTACGCGCCGGGGAGCGAGGGCAACTTTCATACGTAAATCTCTCTACGGATTTCCGTAGGAGAGCTCTTTCCTACGTTGGGTCCTCCGTAGGACTTTTTGAAATATTTTTTCGCATTTTCCGCATTTGTCCATGGCAACATTCAAGCCGCGCGAAACACAAGGTACACACGCGAAGGACTAAAGGGACGCTGGTCTAGGAGTGCGGCAGTTTTTGCGCGCCATGGCAACGAGGAGTGCGCGCACGCGAGAGCCACCAGCGCAAAGCGCTGCAGACTTGCGGCGGGACAGCGAGTGAGACACTTGGCCGTGACCCAGTACGAGTGCAGTCTTGACCAGGGAGCCCTACACATACCGGTATATGTGTAGGGCTCCCTGGTCTTGAGCTACAGGAGGTAAAAAGTTACTCGATCGGATAGAGCGAAACTGAGCACCATGCCATGGGATGCGAGCAGCTGTTAGTACTCCCGACCAGGGAGCCCTACACATTGTGTAGGCACCTTGCTTGACAGCAAGGAACGCTTTTTTTTAGAAAGGAAGCTTCTTCTCCAAAATTTAAAAAAAAAATTAAAATTATTCCTTCTGAAACTTGACCTCGAAGCTGACTGCTGAATGCGATTAGGATTCCTGAAGATGCACCAGACTGATTCTGGCAAGCGAAGGACTAAAGGGACGCTGGTCTAGGAGTGCGGCAGTTTTTGCGCGCCATGGCAACGAGGAGTGCGCGCACGCGAGAGCCACCAGCGCAAAGCGCTGCAGACTTGCGGCGGGACAGCGAGTGAGACACTTGGCCGTGACCCAGTACGAGTGCAGTCTTGACCAGGGAGCCCTACACATACCGGTATATGTGTAGGGCTCCCTGGTCTTGAGCTACAGGAGGTAAAAAGTTACTCGATCGGATAGAGCGAAACTGAGCACCATGCCATGGGATGCGAGCAGCTGTTAGTACTCCCGACCAGGGAGCCCTACACATTGTGTAGGCACCTTGCTTGACAGCAAGGAACGCTTTTTTTTAGAAAGGAAGCTTCTTCTCCAAAATTTAAAAAAAAAATTAAAATTATTCCTTCTGAAACTTGACCTCGAAGCTGACTGCTGAATGCGATTAGGATTCCTGAAGATGCACCAGACTGATTCTGGCAAGCCGTCTGTCGTCTGGATATGCACTGTTGTTCGTCATGGTCAGCAATCTTCTTCGTTCGTCCTTTCGTTTTCGTTTTCCGCGTATTACTTCAATATTATTTTATTAGTGCAGTAATTGCCAAGACAGAAGACTGCAGTACGAACTCGTACTCGTAGCAGCAGCAATGCCAAGAAGAGCAGGCAGCGTAGCAAAAGCAGTCACAACAACGCAGACGCAATAACATTTTCAGCAGCCGTTCATCTCAGAGGGGATGCAGCGCCAAACTGCGAGGGTGGGGTGGTAACTCTCACAACCAATGCCTCCGCAGGTAAGTACTAGTAAAGCCTCTTGTGCGGGAAAAATGAATTGCACATATCATCAAACAAATTCAAATTCAGTAAACTACTTTGAAGTACAAAAATCAATTTAAATCCATGAATCTTCACTAGTTTGAGGGAAAGAGACAAACAGGAAAAGTCTGAACAAAAATGACTGTCACCACCTGGACTCGAACCAGGGACCTTCGCTTGAAGCCAGCGATGCTCTAACCACTGAGCTATGGTGTAGTCGTCATCCCAGCAGAGACTGTTCAACATTTTCTTCAGACTTCGTAACTTACACTTCCTGTGAATCCACGCAGGCGGGTGGGACGCAGCCCTCACTGTACCCACACACTTCACGTACACTCTAGCACGCGGGGAGCCCCAAGTCATAAAAATGCATGAATGTTAGTATTAAACACAAAAATATAAAGTAAAAATCAATTGGAACACAAAAAAGAGACAAAAACCCTAGGTAAAAGAGCCCACAGAAACATTACCGTACTGGCAAAGAACGGCAGCTATTTACAAAGGCCCTATTCCTACGCCTGTATGATGCCCGGGACCCTCTGATACAGATAAGTACTATTATATAACCCTGTTCTTACTCGAACATGCCTCCGGATAGCACACGACTCGTTGTTTTAGAAGACTGTATTATAATGTTTTACTCTGACTCTGATCGAAATCATCTTGCAGTACAAAGGAAAGTTCTGCCTCTCTCGAAGCAGAAGCGGAGATTCAAGAAACATTCAAATCAAAAGATTGCGCGAAAGCAGTGTACGCGACTACGCGCATCAGCCGTGAATACAACATGAGAAGTGAAAGCAGTGTACGCGACTACGCGCATCCAGACGTGAATACAACATGAGGAATGAAAGCAGTGTACGCGACTACGCGCATCAGACGTGAATACAACATGAGGAACGAATGCGTAGTAGTATGATAATGCACAACAGTACAACAAGCAGTGCTGATAGACACATAAAACGGAGTGGCTCTGCACCATTATCAGTGGGCTGGATATAGACTGTACAAACCCAATACTAGTACAATACTAGTATTAGATAAACCTTGTTATAGTTCATACATGTTGTTAGTTTGACAGCATGAAACAAGGTGGAGGACACAACACCCAGCTGGAGAAACTAAAGAAGTCAGTTACGACTGCCCTTGAAGCTGAGAAGTTGTGTGAGCTCAGTCTGTGCGAGCGGTAGGTTCATTATCCAAACAAATGGCGAAATAAAAAGTTGCCAGAAGAATAACCTCTACAAATAACCACTTGTGTTATCCACATGTATCAACTACTTATCAGCATTTCAAAGAATATTCTGATTCTGAAAACAATCGTTTCAATGCTCGACCTTATTATAATGATGATAAACTGAACACAATTCAAGAATACTATAACTCAACACATAAGAGATTGGAACTCAGACGGTGAGCCAAGAAAAAATTGTAACATGGAAAAATGTGGGCACAAGGCACTTTCATGCCGTGGAATGTCTCCGTGCTCCTTGTCAGTTTTGTGCTGGATTGTGCACGTCCGACTCTTCAAAATCTGGCTTAGTTGGTAGACTCAATCGCATAACTTGTGCCCACATTTGTCCATGTTACATAAGTGATATGAATGTTATCTAATCTGGCACTCAATGTGTTACATTTTGTGTGTTATCTTGCAATATCACGCGACTCAATATCACATCAGACTAATTATACCAAAGTTCCGTTCGTTTCTCTGCAGGGACTGGGAGGATGGGAGTTGAAAAATCCACAGCTGATGCAAACCGGATTTTTAATGTATGATGTATATGTGTTTTTTTCTGCACCCTACTAGGTTCATCCTTAGCTACCCCACAGCTGAGTGCCATACTGGTCATGACGTAACTACAGAAACAGGAAAACTTGGAGCTGAGCCAAGGGCAAGGTAAGAAACTAAGAATCACTCCTGGACATCTGAGGCTTCATGCAAACGGTGATAACGGCACACTCGCCATGACTTTGTTTTGTAGGCTCTGTTGAGAAGCGACACTCCAACGCGTTCACCTGTGACCACCACGGCACAATGTATAGCGCGACAAGGCTGGTGTGATATTCAGTACTGAGAACGTGACCGCGGTCCGAGCAACAAACAACACCTTTGTGCAGTTGACAAGACCCTTGTTCACCCTTGACCATTCCTGGAGCAATATAAATCTAAATCTGCAAAAAAAAACTCTCTCTTCAGCTACTTGTTTTCTCCTGCAACCTTCTCCAGGACTGTGCTGCTTTTTAAAACTACTGCCATGTCCAGCAAAATCCAGCCGTATCATGCTCAACTAGGGTCAGGACCATACAGTTGTTGCCCACAGGGACAGTTGTCTGTGTACTGCTGCGGGGTACTGATGTTTTATTTGGCTGGATTTCATCAACAACGACTACTTTACCATTCAAATGGTTGGTTGTTACCTGTGATCTCTGTGTTCTCTTTGTAGAACTTTATACCTGTGCATGGCCATGATCCCATGTACAAACAGCCCCAGAGAGTACCCATGCGTGCTGGCAGCTTACTCATCTGGGACCAGCGTGTGGCGCACGGCAGCCGGCCCAACAACAGCACGCGAGCAAGGTACGTCAGAACACTGCTACGTATATGAGTATTCGTGTGCGTGTGTGTATGAGTGTGCGCTCGTGTGTGTGTGTCCGTATTTGTTTTAAAGTTTGATGCAGTGGTTTGTACTAGGTGCTTTCCCGCCTACTCAGTTCTCACCAACCAGACTGATATCTATGATAAAGCTCTGCTCTACGGTACATGAGTAGATGATGCTCTCCGGATATCTAGCAGCATCTAGACCCTCCTGGAATACGGAGAACTTAATTATGGGCTGCTTATCGCTATAGGCTACTGACATGTATTGTACTATGGTACTTGAAGTCTTGAATAGTAGTCGTTGGTGGGAAAGGATCATCCCTCTAGGCTATGTGTGGGTTCGTGTTATGACAAGTTCTTGTGGACCTACAATGTCCTCTGCAGGTATGTTCAATTTGTAAAGATATCCATCAACCTCCACTCAGAACGAGCTAAGAATCGTGGACAGCTTATCAAGGACAAGGTATGTTGCGGGTGCTCCGCCGGCTGATGTGACCAGTAATGGATGTGTCTGTCCTGCTGCTAAGTATACGAGATCTCGTAGTCCTTAGGCTGTTTTGTTGTCCTGCTGCTGCCTAGCGGGTCATGTGATTGTTTGCTTCCCTGTGTGTGCTCTGGGTACTGCCCCTCGCGTTGTTTCCTGTAGCTGTGTGCTTATTGTGCTGTTGTCTGTGTTCTTGTATTCTTGTATTCACATCCCGGATACCCTTGCATTCATGTATCCACATCATCCGGGTGACGTCACATGCCTATCATAGTGCCAGTGGTGTAACGATGTGCTAGTATTGTTTTCCTGTGTGATGACATTCCCCAAACTGTCTCCTGTCTCGCATGCGCACGTGTGATATGAGCATGCATGATTCGTGAGTCTTCAGTCAGCGAGTCTTGATACACACATGTAACACAGTGTTATGTCTGTGTTTACACGGTGTACTTGTAGGTTGAACTAGCTGGTGTCGACTTGACTGACCTGGGCAAGAAGCTGTGTGCCCTCAAGGCATGGGCATCCGCGGACACGAAGGTGCCCCGCGCCAAGGCTAAGAAAAAGACATAGACTACGTGTTCGCATGGCTCTTTGTACATTCACAGTTGAGTGCCTCGTTTTATGTGTGTTTGTTTAAATCATGTACACCCTCTGATGGGAGTATGATAATGTAGTCATCTAGACGGCTGGCCTGTCCCCAGTGTTCCAAGTGCATATTGACGCTAACCTCCAATGTTATATCCAGCAAGTATCAGATCTGCACTATCGCACATAGAACTGGTGTATATTTCTTTACTGTGTTGATCACTACCCTACTAGCCACAGTCATATTTATATCAACAATAACGTGGGCACCGCATTATTTTTTGTTTAGGAGCTGTCGGTATGCCGGTAGCATGGGTCACGCTAGTGCAAAATAGGCTAGACTACATGCAGCCAAGAACCAGGCACTATTCCATCCAAGAAATAGTGGGAGTAGCTATCCTGATGCCTTGCAACATGTCCAAACCACTTCAACTTGATGCTTGGTAACGAGAGAGCTTGGAAGCTCAGGGCCCTACGCTATGCTTTTTTGCCTTGATGACCTAGACAAAAAAAAGCATAGGGATGTTATAAATTCTTATAAGTTTCTACTTTTTTGTTTTTAGACATATTAAACCTGGGATTCGAACCCGCACTATCGCCCTGCATGCATCCCCCGATACACTTCGCATACATACTAATTCTTCCACGTTATGATCTTGTATTTGAAAGCCCTATTTGAATATGCATTGTGGCCAGCCGTTTTTGATTGTACGGTACGGTCAGGATAGGTACGGTCGAGGGTAATACGACACCGTCTACCGCCTTGATGACGGCAAAAAAAAGAAAAGGGATGTTATAAATTTTTCTCCTATTTTTTTCGGGCATTACCTGGGATTCGAACCCGCACTGTCGCCCTGCATGCATTCCCCCATACACTCCGCATTCATACTCATTCTTCCAAGTTGCTTCACGTTATGATCTTGCGTTTGAAAGCCCTATTCGAATATTGCGGCCAGCTGTATGTGGCCAGCTGTGTTTGATGGTACGGTTCGGGACAGATACGGGATAGCGCCAGGCGTGACACAAACACCAAATTAAAGCTGTGTGGACCCTGGCTAGCGCCAGACGTTACTGAAGTAACGTCTTCAGTAACGTCTTCTGCATAGCTACGGGAATAAAACTAATTATGGACCTTACTTAAGTATTTAAAAAAAATAGTTCAATACTCGTAAAATGAGTGCCAATGGGCAAATGTCCGGTGCTGCACTGAGAACGCATGAGTGGTGACATCTCGTACTGCAATAGGCACTACTTGTATCACGACTAAACATCTTGGTCGTGTTGCTTGATTGCTGCGTCCATCAACTCAATGCACACGTTGGTGGCTTGCTGCGCCAAGCGGCTGACTGCGTGGAAGTTGAGGAAGCCATGGGATATTCCGTCGAATGGGCGTAGTGTCACATCCTTGCCGAGTGCGTGCAGACGACGCGCCATGACGATGGAATCATCCAAGAGGGGGTTAAATGAACTTGGCTGAAAGGTACAACAGAACGGATGGAGAGAGAGAGGGAGAGAGAGAGTGTGTGAGAGAGAGTGTGTGTGTGAGAGAGAGAGAGAGAGAGAGAGAGAGAGAGAGAGAGAGAGAGAAAGAGAGAGAGAGACATGCACACACACGCACACACACACACACCTGTACTTGTACTTGTTGCTCACTGCCAAAAGTGGTCACGTGGGTCTCCCCGGGAGAGGGGAGAGAGACTGTAAAGGAATCTTGGAAAGATGACTCAATTGGTTATTGAACCGCCCAACGGCCGACACCCCCTGAAATCCCCAAAACTCTGGGTGGACTTGAAAACGATCCCACTTATGGGCTCACCACACCTCAGTAAGTGGGTGTGGACAAGGTGCAGAAAAAGGATTGACGGCATCAGGGTATCCGTCCTGGGATCCAACTGCAGTTACCCCTGCCCCCAGTGGAGGTAATACTTGCTACTAGTGCGGGTGGCTAAATCAGGCTGGATCTGATTTAGACATCACTAGCACCATCGATTACACAAGAGTTAATCTAGCCAGAAGCAGTCCATGGTTAACAGGTATGTATACTTCAAATAGAAAGTATATGAACCCTGGAACCAACAAAGGTGGCAAGTACAACATTACACCTTCAAGCAGCTGAGCCCGTTGGCAACATACCCAACACAATCAGGCATAAGTGTACCCACCAACTGAACTAGCTGGCACACACACACACACACACACAGAGTAAGAGATGACCCATAGCACGAAGAAATCTATCGGCAAAGAAACATAGCTTTCTTACTTGAACACCCACAAAGGAGCACAATAATGTAGCATGTTGAAATGTTCTTGTACTCAAAGATACCGATAAGAAGTACGGCTGAGCCTCAGGCAACTCTTCCACTAGACAGCAGGGGTCCTTCTCCAATGGAGGTCGCTGTCATGGAAGTTCTATCAGCTCATACTGCACACTACTCTCTGTGGAAGGGGTGCTAGTAACCCACCTTCCCATTCCTAGCAGGGTCCAGCACATACATGTAGATGATCTATATGTGCTTACCAAGGTGCTCTGTACACACTTCACATGACTGACTATTAGAGAGAGGTTAAGCTGCACGTTATTTCTGACGTGATGCGCAATATCACGTCAAATTAGGCGTAAACCTTCAAATTTCGACGTGAGCTGCAGGTCACTCGCGTTGTTTTCCAACACGCGAGCTGAACTTTCGTGTCACGTAAAGCTTAACCTCTCTATTAACACCCCTTCCCAGACACGCAACATGTCTCAGGCACAATCGATTTTCTATGGAACTCACATGGCCAGCTACTCATTACACACAGACTAGCTGCTCCATACATAGCTACTCATTACACACAGACTGCTCCTTGCATTGATCAGTAAGGCTTGAAAATGCTAACAGTACAGTCAGACCTCGCTTAACCGCACACATCCGTTTTCCACAAAAATATCCGGATAGGCGAGGGAACTGGATAACCGAACACCGGTTACATTGGATGCATCACGTATGCTGTAAATCTGTAGCCAGCTATTTTCTTCCGGGTCGCGAGGGATCCGGATAAGCGAGGTCTGACTGTACATCACACCCAGACCCAGAGCTACAGGGCAGGGCCTGTCACAACATTGCTGACCTCTGACTCTGTGGCTCCAAAAGATCCTGTGAAGTACGTACATGTGCATGTACTTCAGAATTAGGTTGTTTACATGCTCATCATGTCACATGTAGAGACTACACAGAAGACTCTCTACTCTTGGTCTCCTTTTTGGTGAAACACACTTCCAACATTGCACATGCTGTAAGGTTGCCTAACTTAGTTACATGTACATGACTATTGCATCTAGTCACAATTCACACACCTACGTGTGGTATAGCAGTGCTTGGGTTTTCCGGGGCATCGGAAAGGTTCCTTCTCGAAAGAGTTTTGGACAGGGGTGTATTTGCGGACAGTTCCTGATCAATAGGCTAGCTTGTCAATACTATAAGTACGGAATTAGCACTCCTCAGCTACTGGTATGTGAATGCATAGCTCATACCGTACTGCCATGTGTGCTATAGTGGCTTACCAGCAATGCAACCGATGGTAAGCTGTGCAGCATCTCATCACTGGCCAGCAGTGGAGAGAGGTAAGCCGGCGAAGCATTCAGAATGGTGGCATGACAGTGGTGGATGCCCGACTGCAGCTGTGACAGGTGACCGGTGTTCGGGTGATACTCTGGCGTGCTGGACAGGACAAGAGAAGAACACCATGAACTGGTACTCACGGAGCAATCAGCGTTGCGGAGTGCATCCACAGCATAGCCTAGCAGTGCGAGCACAGAGAGACTGAGAGAGTGGATTCCGATGACTTTAAGGAGACTATAGCAAGGGCAAAGGCAAGTCACACGGTCCACGTCCACCAAACACCTGCCTCTAGTCACAGAGCTCTCTGTCCTCATCCATCACCAACGTTGCATCAGATAAAGAAAGCAAGACAAAGGAAGCGACGCAGTTTTGTTTCAATTCCAGGTGATGAAAATCAAAGCTCGAGGTGATGAAAATCAAAGCTTGAGGTGATGTGCACACAGCTACCCAGAAAGTGACAAAACCATACAATGCTGCTCAATGAAATCCGGTTGTGCACAGCATACACAGCTACCCAGAAAGTGACAAAATCACAGCTAACCAGAAAGTGACAAAGTCACAGCAAAGCACTTTAAAGTACAGTGCTGCTCAATGAATTCCGGTCGCGTGAGTCAAGTTTGCGCCTTGCACCATTTCGCAGCCCAATGTTCGCAGGTCTAGTGCAACACCCAGTACGTACGTGAGTGACTCGACTGGATTTCATTGAGCAGCACTGTAGGTTCTTTCCCATTGCATAAGCACAAGACATGAAGTGTGAAAGTTGATTGTCGATGTGCTAAGAACGTGACTTGGTGTAGTTTCACCGTAGTACACGTGGACACACAAACACACACACACACGCACGCAGAGGGAGACTGCAGCCTACAGCCAATTCCGTCCCATATTGTGCGAACAGCTCTCACATTGGGTGAACTGAGCAACCTCCCAGAGAAGGTGCCTACGTTGGCGTGGACAAAGTAATGTAACGCCTATCATTGTCACTACGTCGCATACAGTCAAACTTCAGTAGAACGTATCAGGGAGTAGAAAAACACCGGTATTTACGTACTCCCTGAGCGTACCTCTAGGGCCAGTAGGGGACATCCACCTCAATGATTCACAGGTGAGGTACTTCACACATGAGGTCTGGGAAAGGATACGCAGGGTCGTCGAAACAGCACTCCACACCCGATGAAAGGAGAAAAGGGTGTTAGACCCTGGGTATTTAATGTTGAAGCCTAACTTTTATTTCATGCCACCTCGCTTGTCACACACCAATACCGCAACCACGTTAGCTATAGTTTTAAAAGTTACTGTCTCCACGCCGACTGTTCACATTACAAGGTAAGGGTATATATTGTGAAATGGGCAATCCTATTTGCACCGAAGGAATTTTTACTTGGAGTGACAGTCTATGCACCTCTTATCAGCTGTCACTATCCAAAGATGAACACGTTTGCCAATTCTAATGTGCTAATCCCAGGAATGCACTGTACAGTGAAATTTCCAAGGAAAAGAAGAACTGGTATCTCACCTGCCACTCCCCCGGTACGCATTCAAACATGCCCGCAGCGTTCCAATGGGTAACAGCGGATCCATTACGCTTAGGCAGCGTGCCGGTGACAGATCCAGTGAGATTTTCAGAGCAGGGTACGCGCCCAGAACCAGACACGGCTTCCGAAGCTGGTACTGCGCAGCGAGGAATGCCACTCCGAAGACAAAGTTACCTCCAGCCGAGTCGCCGGCCAGGATGACTTTCTCGGCAGTGGTACCCAGGCTGGTGGCGTTCCTCAGCACCCAGGCGTACGCGTAGAAACAGTCGTTGACGGCACGTGGGTACGGGTGCTCGGGGGCCGTCATGTAGT